TCTCTCTCTCTCTTAGCAAACATAGAAACTTTGCATTTGTTTCTTCTGCAATATGTACTTGTTCAAATAAAAACAGTCCTCACGCTGTTTTGCATGCTGCTTCGATCCCCATTGTGGTTTAGAGAAGCGCGGAACAATGTGAACTATGTCTACAATACTGTCGGTCGAAACGACGCTACTGTGTTGATGTCCATTCAACTTCTCCCATTTCAATTTCTTGCAACCTGTCATGTGTTGCCGTTCACTGTCGACCTCCTTGTACCATTGCACAAATCCGCAGTTGTGTTCCATATTACCGCTGTCCGCGAGTGTGTCCGCGACAAAAAACATAGCTACTGATGCAAATCATGTGCATTCGTTACCTGCTCTAATTGCGACGTCATTGCGCACTGATCTCCCATGGAACTGTGGCGACGCTCTTGCAGTTTGAACAAGTGTGTCCGTGTTTGTTCCGTCCTGTACGCAGGCGATGGCCAGGTGTGTCCGTGTGTGTATAAGCAGGTCCTCAGAAGGAGGTTGACAACCATTCTCCACCACGTATGTCGTAAGCGCAGCCCGAAAATCGCGTCTGCAAGGAAGTTCTTTGAGTATCTTACACGCATGGTTGTCAATGCCTTCTCCCTCGCGTATGTACTCGTCATCGATATCGAACCACCGCAGTTGCAGCATTGCCGTATCGCGTAGTGCGAGGGTGTTCATTCCGGTGACCATACAGTCTGTCACGGATGACCGGTTCTCAACCGTTCTCTTCCTCCGTTTTCTCACGATCCCGATCTCTTCGCGCAACGCCAATGACCGGCGTACATGGTTTACCATCTGGGTTGAAGCTTTCCGCTTGTTTGATGACAGGTATGGCTGTTTGCAGAATTTCCTGTGGTGATGCTCCCAAACATCTGTCGCGAAGGTGTTGGGGACACCGGATCGCTCAATACACGTTGTCAGATGCATGAGATCGTGCAACTTGGGGAGTTTTCATGTTGATGGTTGATATTTTTCCAATTTTGCTTTGATGGTCGTTACGAAGTCCGTGATCAAAGCGTCGCATTCATCGAGCGAAACACGAGTGTGTGTTGTACACACTCGTATATACATTTCCATCAGTTTCACAAAACAAACAGTAATGCCCTTGCCTGTCGAGCGTGGTATAATATTAGAAATAAGGAACACGCACAGTGTCATCACAGACCGGTTTTGCTTCGCCTCGAACCGTCCCTCCCTCGAAAAAAAGTCGCTGCCAGTGGTCACCGGCAGCACAAGTTGGGGGTATGTTGGCGTGCATCTCTCACTAACGCTTTGCAACCTTGCATCTAGTTCCTTCAGGATCTCTGTTTGCGGTAAGTGCGACAACTTCTCAAAGGCTGAGGTTCTGAATGCGTCAATCATGTGCAGGAATATGCCGTGCTCGATTGTGTGCATACGGTCTGGTTGCAATGCCAGGTGGTCGTCTAGCTGAGGATCGTCACCATTGGGGTCCCTGTAGAACCCCCAAAGGTCGTTCTGTTGAACATGCCTATGCATGTTCAACTCCGACATTCGTGCTTCCGCTGCACGGCGAACGTCGATGTCGTCGGTGGTGAACACATATGTTTTAAGGTGTGTTTCCAGCGTCTGTGATCTCATGCAGTCTGTGAAATCGACTATGAGATCAAAATCGTTTTTGGACACGGTGCATGTCGTACATACACCAAACTTCATAGTTGCAATCGCACATCGTTCTGGGTAGTCCTAGATATAGTTGAGGAGGAAAGGGTGGACAATTATGTCCCTGAATCGTGTTGTCGGTATCATTATTCCGTCATGAGATGCCTCCTTCGCAGACTGCAACACCACTGAAAGGGCCTTGTGCAAAATGATGGTCTTTCGCTTTCTGAATGGGGTGGACTGTAGACCCCATCCTTTGTCACGCGGACGATGATGTAGGACAGAAAGATAGGCCAGCAGTGTGACTTCGGATGCGTGGTCGGCTAGTGACATCATAAGAGGGTACGCCGTCTGTTTTTGACGACCGTCTGTATGTGTCTTGTCGGAATACAATGAAAGAGGGATAACATAACGTGGATTACCATTCCCGTCCACATCTTTGTCCGCTCGAATGATCGACTGAATGTGATAACTTAGCGCCCCGCTGCGTGGGCCGAATATACTGAGGTGCTCTGACGGCGGAGACACTTCCAGAGAAGACACCGTCTCGCATTTCTGTAATGCGATATGAAAAATCGACAGAAATGTCGTTTGCCAGTCGCGGTGCCACAAGATGGCGTGCGCATCCCTTGGCCAATCGTCACAACGTAGATCCAACTCTTTCCATCCAGCAGCCTCTGCTAGACTCCCTACCCATGTCAAACACTCTCGACTATTACGATACGCGATGTCTCTCGTGCTGGATCTCGGGTCTGTGAGAAGTGACAAGAGAGCATCTATGTCGCTCTGCGACATACCGACGCCACCCCTGGCGGAGAAAATTAGTGCCGCTAGCTTGCGAGAGCTGTCAAAAGACTCGACAGGCTGCGGTTGCTGCTCTTCGAATGTCCCGCCCTCCCCGTCTACATTCTCGGGGGCCCCGATGTCCTCGCTCTCATCACTCACGAGATTCAATGCACCTATACTTGATGGTCCGACGTCATCGATCACACCCATCTCCTCGCCATGTGTTCTTTCGTCCGCCACGGCCGGGCATGCCCTCGCACGATGTGAGTTCAAAGTTCGTAATGACATGAAAGGCCTACCACAGTCGCACACCCGTGGACCGCTGTCCATTTTCTGTGCACGCAGTGCATTCCAAAAACAAACAGAGCGGTGCGGACAGTGTTTTGATTAACATTTTGTACATTGGTTCAGGTCGTTAAAATTATAAGTTGCAGAGCATATTTTGTTATATTGTGTAAGTGTCGCACATCCTCTTCTCTGTGAGAAAGAGATAGAGATGACTCACTGATTGTCGTTTTTGGTACGAATGGTCTGTATCGCTCTCCGCGTGAAAATGATTGCACCTTGGCACCTCAGCCAACCTCCACAACCACTTCCATGTCCACGTGAAAATGATTGCACCTCGGCACCTCAACCGACCTCCGCAACCACTTCCAAAACATTTCACAACCTACTACATTTGAATTTAAATTATAGAGAATCAAAAAAAAAACACAACATACACACATTGGTCATCACAGGGGGTCTGATGTGTCTCACGTACTCTAAAAGGCAATAAATTATGACATACATCGTAACAATTATTAAATGATTGAAATATTGTTCAATCCTGTGTCTGCACGCTGTAGTGAACCGCATG